TTTAAAAAAGTTGTGCTAATTATAGGGAGATTAGTCTGAATGAGCAGCCACAGCTGCTGTGTTTGGCGGCGCGGCGGCGTTTCTGTCAGAATGGAATCTTGGCCTCCGAGCGGAATTCTGGGAATTGGAAAATCTGAGATATTTAAAGATACCGATCGTTAAATATTTTATTGCAAAGCACCTAAGACAGCATCTCTGGTGCCAATTCGTTTGCCAGGCTTCCCGGGAAGAGGAATTGTCCAGAGGTAATCCGTGATTAACAGGAGAAACACAGAGACTAATTACGAGACCTTTGCCGGTTATGAACTGCCGTCACACCCCACGATATGGTGAATTGTCATAGCTCTGGGTGATCATTCCCTCCAATAATCTATAAAAAAACATTGCACTGCAAATGTAAAAAAGCCGATAAGTGGCTCCAGCGGTCACACAAACTCAGTCCATACAATGTACTCACATTGTCCATAATCCATTCTCACAAGCGCGATTCGCAGCACACTTCGCAAGCGGTATGAATACTTTGTCAGTGATACAACGTCCCTTTCCTACTGCTGCTCTGTTTTCAGCCATCTCCAACGCTCTTCCGAGAAGAGGAAGCTACCATAACTTTGTCACTTTCAAACGTAGATTGAAAACTAAATTGTTTGGAACAGCCTTTAACGCTTAATTAGTTTCGTTCTCCTTCACCCCCCCCCCCCCACCTCCAATTAGCACGGTTGGCTACGTACGGTGCGAAAGAGGTTCAACATACATACACCACGCATGCATGCTCACTGTGCAACAAGGCCACGCTGCTCTTGCGCGAGCACGGAACTCTGCTTGCTCTGGGCAAGGGCGGAGGTAGAAATACCGGCTCCACGAACATCGTTATGCACCCTAGACCGATCCCCATAGAATGCTGAGGCCGTAATCGTTCTCGCTCTGTCACAATGTAATGGGGTCATCATCACAAGCGAGGGCTGCAGAGGAATTCAATAACTTTTCTTTCGTTCCATTGCGGCTAAGTACTCGCACTTAACGGGGCTACATCCACACCGTGGTGTTTTTGTGTGTGTGCGCGTCATTTTAAACCTATGAAGGTGGCTGGAGGGGCCACAGTGAGCCCATGACAAGCGACATGTGCAACTCAAGAACGTGTATGAAGCTTAGGAGTCGATACTAATCGATGATTCGATGCATCGTTACACTCCAATAAAAGCCCTGGGTCATTGGACTCAGCAGCAGCAGCAGAGCAAAAAGCAGCGGGGTACAGAATATAAGAATGCAGCAGAGCAGATGGTGGGCAGTGCGCATCATCACAGAATGGGGAGAGCTAAAGTAAACACAATAAAACAAATGTTCTCATCAGGAATGCGAGTCCAATGTCATCATTTGAGTTTATGACCGATCATAAGCTGACTACTCTGCCACACGTCGCTTTTAGCTGGTTGCAAAGAAGAAAATGTGGACAGCTTTCAAGCATCCACGGTGTAAAACGCATCACGGAAGTCAGGAACAAAAAAATATCAGCTCCCAGCAGGGAAACAAGCTTCCGCATGCAAACGATATGATGCCTCATTTGACAACGGGGAAGGACTTCCAAGGGGTTGAGTAACAATAATTGACTCCCCTGCCCAAAAAAAGTCACTCCGATGACAGGGCCGCCTTGGAACCCGCCTTCACACAGCCCAAGTAACCATTCAGGGGCTTCCTCCCATGGCCCTAAGGACTCCTGTGGCTCATCCGCCTACAGATTTTAGGCTAATCTCTGTGTGCACTGGGTCATGAATAAAATCATGACTGGCTGTATATTTCTATCACGATGTCAAGATATTGTCGAATGCGACCAAGGTTTAAAATGTCATTCGTGTTAAAAGAGCTTTAATTTTGATACCACCTTAAAAGCTATGCCCACTCATGGGACAGCATGTAATTAATCGTCCAATGTTAAGCCACCTTACCTTTCAACGTCGTTGAAGTTACGAGGTACGGGGAATATTGTGTGGCCACTTGTGTTTTATTGCTTTAATATCGGTTGGGTGTGTGCGTATGTGATGCGTATCGCTCTTCGCCTTATACTTGAACTAGACCATCTGTTTATTTTGAGTAATACAGGAAAGTAAGGAATATTCAAACTAATCTAGGATTATTTGGCGAAAACATTTCAGCTCAGAGGTTTTTTTTTTTTGCATGTGTTAACACAGTTTAAAATTGTTGTATTTGTATGAAAGTGGTCGTTAACATAGCATAGGAATCACATCGCTTCACTAATGGACCAGAGCCATTAGCGTTGAGGCCGCTGTTATTTGAATTCCTTACAAATAACTGCTTGAGGTTTTTTTTTGTAAAAGTGGCAATCGAAGTAGTTAAAAATGTATCTTTTCTAATTTGAACAATTTTATTTTTGTTTACAAAAGTTCTACTAACTTGGAATGAAGGAAAACATATATATATTTTTTTACAGAATGGCCATCAGGAGATGATCGCACTTAACGAGTTTGGGAATTGCCCTGCCATAATGTGTCCACCGGTTTAATTGCGTACAACATATTTGGCTGACTGTTTCAAAGTGTCGCAAACGACTGTGGAACTCTGACATGAGAAGCAGCCGAGCGTGACGAATCCTACTTTCACCCTCGCGGCCACTGCCTCCTCACCCGTCTCCTCCTGAGATTCCTCCCTGATTCCCCGCAGAACGGCTACACTATATCGCCATCTGTTAAGGCAATTCATTCGGCAGAACGCTTAAAAGCTTGCGAATGCTCCTCTGGGAGCATCAGATAGGTCGACTCAGCCTCAAATGAGTACCTAGTGCTCATTTGGTGCAGCATGTAAACATCGCCACTGGGGAGACAAAGGCGGTTGGGGCGTGGTGCTGGCTACCCCCCCCCCTCCCCGGCCTCATTCGGCAACTGATGATGGCCATTTGCCGGCAGAGTTCTGACTTTGCGTCTCCACCACAGCCTCCCCGCTGTGTTTTGTGTCGCGACGTTCGTTCCGTCGTTCGTTGGTCGGCACGGTGCTCGACATTTTGTTCCGTGTGCTGGATCCTCCTTCAGCGGGCGGAGAGAAACGTCGGACATCGCGCCGACCGACCCACGGCGCAACGTGAAAGCACATCGGAGGGCGACACAGCACGATGGTGGAAACCTGCTCAGCAGCATGATGGCTAAGACTCTTTCTCCGTGTCATTACCTTCATTGCTCCCTTATCCTCCCTTCACCTCTCTCGTGCTCTCGTGCTCTCTGTCACCTATTGTTGAATACATTCATGGCAGAGACGTGTTGCTGCCAATGACGTATGAACAATGATTATAAAATCAAAATCCCCACACAAGCAGCAGCATCCAAAGGCTGCACCGGGTGACAACAATCGAATCTGAAAATTATCAGAGGACATGGTTATAGCGCCGGCCAGAAATCCAACACACCGAAACACGTAACAACAACAAAAATCGCACAGCCATTTGCACATTATGCTTAAACCACCAGCAGCTCCTGAAGAAGTATATTGTGGTCCTGTGAAATCCCAAGCAATGAAAGTGCAAAGTACGCTGGAACAGAGATGTGAGGTGTCTAAACTTGAGTGGTATTATTTTACCATTTGGGACCTTTTGAAATGACCCCATTGATATGGGAGACAGGTTTTAAATAAATAAAAAATGCCCATTGCTCTACATCACCATGAATAAAATAGTTTACATTTTCAAAGCTTTCAAATACGGGCACATCTCAAGAGGCCGTACAAGGCAGCCCATAGAAACATAAACATTACATGCAGATTTTATATTTACGTGTTTTATATATTTTTCATAAAAACAAAACCACCCGTTGGGCAGATGGAGCGGCAGCAGCAGCAGCACGGGACGCTACACAGAGCCGTCTCAAGTACTGCCACCCCCACGCACAATTATCACTCTATCCGTGGTGTGCATTCAATGTCATGAAGCCACTGCCATGGGGTGAGGATATTAATCATTATTTGGATTAAAAGATGGAAATACAAGAAAACATTCTTTGGAAAGTACTGTAACGAGTGCACACGCAGAGGAGAGAAAGATGATCCTTTTTTCTACTGCCTCCCCTTACAGCACAGCCTGGAAGAGCCTCTTTCCGTTTATATTGCACACACACAGTGACCCATCCCCCCACCCTCTACACAACAAAAGACGGATTAACTCAGCTCCGCACCCCACTAAAGTCCCCTACATGCCCCCCCCCCAACTTAGCCTGTATTTAAGCGCTAGGTTCCCAGAGCCTCGCCACTTGGTGCAGCGATTTTGGCTGTGACTGGTCCCACCTGAAGACGGAAGCTTGCGTTGCCTCCGAAACGTCGTGTTTTAATTGTTTCTTTTATTTTAATTTATTTTATCTACGTGACTTTACCGAATAAAAATAAAGAGTATGAATCCTTGCAGTCACGAAAGCTTCAAATCTAGAATTAAGGATGATCTTAATTTTTGACTTTAAGAGGGCAAATTAATCAATGGTGCAGATAACTAAGGGGAGAGAATTTCAACCAACAGTAGCAGCAGCAGCAGAAGAGAAGGAGCAACCCCCCGTAATTTGGAGGTTGATTTTGGGTTTGACCAAGTGGCTAAGGCTGCTCAGAGTAAAGTGAAGGGACCGGAGAGGAGAGTGAGATGAGAGGGGAAGAGGCAGGCTGGGGCAAGTCCAATTTAGGACCAAAAAAGCGGCGAGGGCGATCTTGTTGCTGATCTTAGATCAAACTGGGGACAAGTGAAAAGATTTGAACATTGAGAATTGGGGAAATGTGCCGAGCCGTGAGACGGAACATTTTTATCAGGGGAGATGACCACTTCTGATGTGAGACCTCAACCGTTGTATTTTTGTAATTTGCGAGCTTCTGCTGACTAATGGAGCTATTTGGTAAAAATTTTCCATTGGTTTTTTTTTTATTAAAACTAGATATTTGTTGTTGTTATGGATCGAGAGTAGGGAAAACAAAAGAACTATCGCAAGTGGAAAGGACTTCATTTTGAAAAACGGGAAGTACATCACCTGTACTGGATGGTCTCCGAGGTTGTCGATGCTCGTAGTTTGGTCATCAAAATCGTCACGATGTTGAAGAGAAAAATGAAATTGATCTGTTGAGGGAAACAACAGAATTTAAAACGGTGTCAGAAGCTGGCTAAAGCAGTTGGTTCTTGCGTGTGCAACGGAACTCAGGCGGTGAATTCCGCGGCAATGGAAATTATAGCTTGGGACATGAAACCCGATAGTCGCAAAATCTGACACGAGCATAAACGTTCTCACACATCGGGGTTGGTCCAATTCATAAGTGCCACTTAACTACCACATCCCAATGGTCTACATTGTCCTTGCAATTCCGTTCCTGCGGAGTGGCCCAGATATATTCAGTCCTATCTGTAGGCGGGTTGACGTGCCGTGAGAGAGGCGTTATTAAATCAGAAGTGAGATTGAGGCACGTGACGAGAGTGCTTTTTATCAGCAATGATCGTGGATGATGAAAGCCATGTAACAATCGACCTCTCCCGTGATTCCATGCATTTTTTAGAATCGAGCTGACGATTAGAATCAAGAATTGCGTCTTATTTTGTTTGTTGAGTTTGTACTACACCTTATTGATATTGTTTTTCATCGGTCTAAAGTTGCATGTAATATATGAATTGTTACATCGCCCAGTAAGCGCCTCCTCTTTTTTGATCCACTGTCGATGAAGGCCTTTGCACACTGTGTTGTTCGTGCGAGTTATTTGACCGCACCTCACCAAATTGGCCGGTGCGGCATGGTGAAGTTAAACGAGGGAGGCAATAAACCGGCTCAGATGTCACTCACCAATGACGTTCGTCGATAATCGAACTGGCGTTGCTGGGTTGAGAGCAAGAAGCACTCACCACTGCGCTCACCACTCACGCATTTGGCTTCGAGTGTTGCCACTTTATTGCACACGTCATGCGTCGCAGCAATGGTTTGGTTCGAAAGCCACCGTATGGCTTCAGACATTACATTATTAATTGCGGGTGCAGCTCCTCCTATACAGCCAAGTAATGGGCCACTATTATGTGGCCGGCTCTACTCCGCATCAAGTGGCGATGCCATGGTCGGCGCTGGTCATCAAGTGGTTCGCGAGTGCTTCCCTCACCAGCAGCACGAGGATAATTGGCCCTTGGTAGATGTAGTCGATGTACTTCCCTGGCGTTTTCCCAAACCAGCACCTAGAGAAAGGGACGAAACAAAATAAGCCATTAAGGGAGAACTGGCAAATTATTTGTCGTGCCTCTCTCGTCATTAAATTGCCATCATTATTGGCATCATCAAGGCGAAATGGCACTCCAATGAAATGTAATTCTTGAAAGATGTGTCATAGGTCAGGTCTCTCAGAAAATCCGATGTATTTAACTCAATCCATGTGGTAATGGAGTTGCTGATAGTTTCAGAAGGGCTTAATTCAGCAAATGAAGTTGTAATATTTAAGCAATCTAACCCCAAAAAAAACCTCTATTATGGTCACGAAAGCCAATGTGTTAAACTGTAATATTATCGTCATCATAATCATCGTTAATTATTGCTTGCAACGCTTGCATCAGAGCAAGGTTTCAGAGTGCTCAAGTGATGAATGGAGCGGCTTGAAAAAATTGGCGGAGCGGTGCAGAAGGATGATGTTTTGTGTCATTAAACAGAGCGCGTTCAATGCGAAGCACGCATCACAGCCACGTGGACAAGGAGGCTTTGGCGAGACACAGCGCCGTGCATCAATCGTTGGCGCGAGCGGTGGCGCGACCCTTCCGATGCCGCACCGCGCAGATGAGCGACTCACTTTTCATCTTCGAAATGCAGCTTCACCATGGCCCAGATTATGATGATCGGCGCGGGTATAACTGAAAAATGATCATTAGTGGGGGCACAAAACACACAGTCGGTCCATTAGTCAAGCAGTGTTTTTTTAACCCCCCCCCCCCCCGCGCAAAAATACAAATTGAAGAAAGAAAAATAATGGCGTTTCGGATTCGTAACATATTACACACTTAATAGCCTTGGAAAAGGAGGCAAGGGGGAAACGATTTTACGAGCAAAACATTAATGAGTTTTCACAGTGACACATTTCGTTTATGAGTTGCAATTATGTAAACGTGAGGGCTTGAGATAGATGGGTTGTGCTGGATGGAATGTTCTGTCGAGTCCTGGGGCAATGGATGCAGTTCTGCCAAACCCAGAGCAAATTGGTGCTGTGTTGCGCCTACCCTTGTTAAACACCATCAAAATCTCATTAAAAGTGACACAATTCTCCAATGATACGTGCGTAACTGAGCATCTCATAATTTCTACTGCCAGAGATTTTCTCGTAAATATGCTCAGCACCTCCGATGAGCGTGGTTGGCTCTGTGCCACGCAAAATAAGTTCAACACACACACACTGCTTAGCTTTCTGTGATCCGACAAGATAGGGCATATTCAGGGTGATTTGGTCGAATGTATCAAGGGCATCCTGTACGCAGAAGTTATGAGTAGCAGCGTGTGCTTTGGCAGCTATTCTGAGGATGCACTACACGTGCTTCACTCATACACCATCGTCACGCGAACCCCGGTCATTCTCGCAGCGGCAGCGGCTTCTTCTGGCTCAGCCATCGAACAAAGACGATCACCGCATCGCGCGTTTTCAGATGCGCTTCTGCGGCCGTCTGGAACGCTCTTCTTTTCGATACTAGGAAAGCCACTGGAGCTTTGCGCTTTTAGATGCAAAATTACAAACTAATTTATTTAGAACTGCTTTTTTGTATTTAGTTTCTTGTCCTTTCCCCGCACCTTGTAATTATCACGGTGGCTATGTATGTACATACTCCACGTGTCCCGTGCGGATATGCCAATCAACCTTCACACCCACCCCAGCCGATGCAGATGAAGATCCACTTGCGCAGCTTGTCGGTGGAGTAAGTCATGACTATGGCTGTGTGGAGGTAGCAGCCCTCGACAAACATCCAGAAGAAGTTGGTCACCTGGAAGTAGTTGAAGATGGTGATGATGATGCAGCACCAGGGCTGTGTACGCACACACACACACACACAAGCAAGTCATATGTAGGCCTATACATTCATGTCAGACATTATATTAATGAAGGACTTCTTTGATTTTTTTTATAATTTATTGTCTTTTTTTAAATGTTATTCCAACTGCGCTTCTGGAGTAATGCCACAAGGTGAAGTACCCTTTGGAACGCTTGCGGAAAAGTGTAACCCATTGTGCTGGAGAAGTGCCCACGTAAATATAACTCAGAGAACTGCTTTTGAGACGTCTCCAAGTGGCCTCTGTGATCCACACACCCTGCTTCAGCCAGAGATGTGTTTGTTGTGAGGAAGCCAGGCCAATGCTTTGGAATTATCAGAGCTGGAATTTAGGCCCATTGAGCGTAAAGTTACATGTATGTCGTGGGGTTGTTTTTGTTGCACATTCTCCGGCGATTGAGCCGAGACCATCAACTCGCTACACTCGAGAACCCACTTTCATTGCGAGCGGCAGAAATGCAGATTGGAATCCAGGATCTTGCTCAGGCCAGCTTAGAGCTTTGACCCCTGAAGCACCGGACCACCCCTGATTACAATTTACTACGACTGTAAATGTTTATCTTAAACTACATGTGATCTGTGAAATACAGCTCAACTATATAAATAGAGTGATTACCAAAGCGATGACACTCGGCCTCTATGCTATTATGCTTTATACATATGCCATTTTTTTCATGTAATAGTTTTTTTTTAGCACTGTATGTATAATATTGAATACGTTTTACTGTTCAGTTCTTTGAGCGTGGGAAAAAACACAATATAAATCAAAAATGCATTATTATAATGTGTTCATTTAGTGTGTAAGTAAAAATAAAATGTAATTGGTAAATGACTGCATCACATTATTACATATCAATGATGTCACCTGTGGCATATGGATGCTCATCACATACCATCGTGATCAGGCATCTGGTAAATTATACGACAGGAGCGTAAAAAATGTGATTACAAAAACACACTGATATGGCACGCCGCGCGTTAATACAACACCTCAACCTGCTGAAGTTACCCGGCTCCTTCCTTCCGTCCGTCGTCCTAACGCGCCAATACATTTCCCTCCGTATCTCCGGAGCCGTTTCGACACATGAGCGATTTTACAAATGCAACCCAAACGCTCATTTTGCGCTCTAGCGGTGTTCGATGGCCGGCGGAGCACCGAAACCCTCACAGCGGCGCTTCTCGCTCCGCTGTGCTGGGTACGACCACGAGACCTGTGGGAGGGCTCGTATTGAAGCTGCGTTTAAACTAAAACATTGCTTTTTTATTTGACCAGGTAAGGCCCGCTGAGGTGTATTGCTATTTTTCTGAGTAGCGACCTGGCGCCTCCAATTAACACCACGGTTGTCTAGGTAGAGTGCGAAAGAAGTTACACATATGTAGTGACATGGAATGTGTCACTTTGGCGCATCGCGCTGGTTGCTGGAACAGAGGGGGATCGGCAAGTGTAGTAGCCCTGTCTGCCAGCAGGAGGTCATGAGCAAGCGAAAAGGGACGCGAGGCAAGGAGGACAGAGGGGACGTGTGGTCAAGCCCGGGAACCTTCTAGTGGGTTCTAGAAGGGGGGCGTGGCCGAAGGCGGAGCGAGGTCACGCGAGGTGGATAAAAGGGGGACCCCTAGCGAAGGTCCAGGGCTGTTGCTGGAGTGGAACCGTCTAGCTGTTGGAGTCGTCACCGCCTCCACCTCGGCGTTCTAAGTCAGGCAGCCTGTTAGCTGTCCTCACCTTAATGCAGTTAACCCTTGTGCCTGTGAAGGCTGAAATAAATAGAGTGCCTCCTACAATTAGTGTCTCCGAGTGATTCACTGCACATGCATGCAAATGATAACTCAACGAAGTGGCTTATCACGTGGATATTTATAGTAGCCAAATACTCAAAATGCACGTTGTTTATAAATGTGGAGGGAAAAACCGGAGGTCACGGAGAAAAATCCAGGCGACCAGGTCGGTGTCAAACCCACGACCTCTTATATATCAGGCGAGGTAGTTAACATCTCCTAGTCACCGTGCGTTTGTGAAATATTTCACCGTTCAGAGCGGCCAGAGAGGGGAGGTGAGGGGCGGAGTAAACACTTTTGGAGTACCGTATTGTCTTTTAAATGTCCAATTCAACAAGCAACAAGCCCCCGCTTAAACCGCAAGTCAGGTTAATTAAAACATTTCCTTAAACACGTGGTGCCTTTCTGGCACAAATCTTCCACCCAAAGCACTGGCTATTGCTATTTATGTAGGTTCCAATTAGCACGTGGGTTTCATAACGTGTATTATGTGTCCGTGTCCATTGACAAGCATACAATGTAGGCGCGCCCATATTTCTCTCCACAGAGATTTGTTAGAATCGTCATGCGTTGGGAGTCGTGACTTTATTCAATCATCAATTTTTTTTATTTAACTCGTATCATCTCCTTTGTACTGCCTCTTGTTCATTTAGGTTCCATGTGTACAGTTTTTTTCACGACTGCATACAGAGCACATCAGCATAATTTGCATGTCATAAAAAAGCCTCGTATAACTGTCACTTACGGGCAACATTTGATGGATGTATCATGAGCCTAAGGATTGATTTGAAGGCAGGAGTCAATTCATGCATAAACCCAAGGGAAGACAGTGGCAACACGTGATAGATAGAGACAGAGTATGGCGAGCGATCGAACACAGACGGTCACCGCATCGCACTCTTTCAGATGCGCTTCTGCGGCCGTCTGGAACGCTCTTCCTTCCGATATTAGGAAACCACTGGAGCTAGACACGTTTACATCTTCTAGATTGACAAACTGATTTCTGTAGAACTGTTTTTCATGTTTAGTTTGTTGTCCCTCTCCAACATCTCTGATTAGCACGGTTAGCTACATACGGTGCGAAAGAAGTTCAATGTACACATATATACTGTACAGGGTGTTCCCATCTAACAGGTTTCATGCCAATTTTAACTGTGCCTTTGGAGAGAGACAATGAGAACATTGATAGTGTGTACACTATCCATCATTCAGTAGAGTTTACTTCCCAGCATAATGTAAAAAACAAAAACCCAAATACGATCATTGGACTTTTGGCAGCATGTACGGACGTTATGCACGGGGTTACTGACGTAACATGTTCGCTCGATGGAGGTAGAAGTCAAACTAAGAGAAACGCATTCCTGCAATTTGGCTCATTATAAACGGGGTACCATTCTGGGCATGGTTCGTGATAACGACGACGTTGTGTACCATAAAGATAGCCCCCCACAATCAAGCTTTATATTCCGAAGTCGAGGACCTCTATTTATTCACGAACATTTTTAAACGTAAACAAGACATCGCTGCTTCGTCAGCAAAGCAATGCAAAAAAATTACGTTAAAGGGTGCTGTATACATTGAGAGAATGTTGTTGTAGAATAAAAGTCCGATGCACAACAGGTACTTTTTTTTGTTAAAGAGATCTTGATCCGGCATGATATAACGGACAAAAAGCGGTGCTGTAAAATTCCCTGCTCATACGAAAAAAAAATATTTTTTAATGATTTTTTTAAACTCGACTGGCGGAAACCGCATGCTTTCAGCTGTGGACTGAAACCACTTCCATTACAGCTGATTGTTGTTATTTTCCTGAAAACGCCGTGAAAAAAACATGCAAAATTTGTAACAAGAGCAATAATATATCGACGTGAATATGGACGGCTCATGTAACACTGCACAATAAGCAGCATCCTGTTGTCGTGGGCTTAATTGAGGCTTCAGGGGATTCTCGCACGCATGGCTATAATACCTGTAATCTAACCAAACTCCGTGTCATGGAGGGCATTGATCGAGCCCTCAATCCATGGAACGATTCATCAAGCGGTATAAATTCACCTCTACGCATACCCGGAGGCATGCAGCCACGTAACCTAACATTTAGAAGACCTGAACGCCAGTCGGGTGCTTTGTCATCAATGTCTCGGCAAAGTACAGACGCACCACCTCTGTGTTCAGATGCTTTACGAGCAAAGATATTTTTTATTTGTCTGACCAGACTGCTTTGGAAGCCAGGGTCGGGGATAACTGTGGTTCATGACTGGGTGAATGTCAGGATTTTACCGCTGAGTTGAGTTGGCTGCCTCGAGACACATGCAAGTTGAACGTAAATGCCACGCACGCTTACCCAGCCACGATCTCCACGAGTCACTGTAATTTCCATCGCTTGGTCTTCTGCACGCGTTCGTACCCCTGCGTGCAATGCCGCACAACCTCCTGTGGAAACTAAAGCGGCCCTAAACGATCCTAAATCCAATTCAATACCCGCTGGCTACAGACCCCTTACTTCCACGGACCGGTAAGCATGAAATTAAACGACCTGTAGCTCGGGTACCTGAGTTTCCTGAATCTAGTTATTATATCTTGGGGGAATGTCAACACACGTGGCTATGTATGTGTGCATCTGTGCTCGCTAAAAGCATTTGGCCCAACAGTCCATTACGGCTATACGGAGAATCTTTGTCCTGGTCTGTGTCTGTCTGTTTTGAGAGTGGGGCCGCAGCTGTTTGTGCACTGCAATGGTATTTCAGTGACCTGGCTTTGATTCGTAGTCAAGCTTAAAACCTTTAGCAATCATATTCTGAATCTGGCCTGATCCTCCGCCAAGTCAGCTCAGCCTTAGAACGAACTACAAACTGTAGTAATAATAATAGGGGTTTCCCCCTTTTTTCTGGCAATAAAACTGATACCTTTTTACAAGGATTCATGTCTGCATTAGCCGCCATACCTGCAGTCAAAATGCAAACAAAAAACACACTATGATAATATATGATGCATTGTCCTTGAAACTGATTGGTCCACACCAAGGGGACGGCTTTCTCTTGAGCCTCGACCCAATTGGTGCTCGACCAGATGACGGAGCAGTGCTCACCTCGTTGCGCTCCTGCGTGCTCAGGTCGATGAGCTGCAGCAGGAACCAGGTGGCGTTGCGCAGGATGAACGTGGTCATGAGGTTCCAGTGGATCGCGTTCCGGAGGCAGCGGATGCTCCTGCTCCACGCGCCAACATGCGCACGGGCCCACAGCATTAACTTCCGATGCAAACTTCGGGGGGTGGCGTCGCGAACGCCAGCGGCGAACGCCGGCAGCGGCGAACGCTGGCGCGCTCTCTCTCTCTCTCTCGCGCGTGCGTGCGGCAAAACCGATCCGCACGGCCGCTCGTGTGGGCGGTGGCATCGTGCGACAAGCTGCTTGCGCCAACGTTGTTAGGGTTTGTGATGCGCAGGTGTGAATGTTCGGATTTGTTTTCGCCCCGATTTTCATCTCCAGCGTAGCTCTCCAGAGCCCCCTCGAATAGATGACCTTCCACTAGCAGTGGCGTGAACAACCAATGGCAAGGCTGCACCATGTACCTTTAGCCTCTTATTTATGGGTTTTTCAAATGTTGACATTGGCTTCGTGTCTAGAGATGAAGAAATGTGTATTGAATGTGTAAGTCTTGCAGCGAGCAATGCACCACATTGTGTCAAGACCTGGCCCAGGTGATGTTACCAACGAGTTAATGTACTTCTGAAGTCCTTTCACTTAGTTTATCTATCCATAGTGGGTACCCAACTTTTATATGCTCTGAATAAAATACTTTTTGCAGGCCAAACTAACTTTTTTAATTCTCAGCTATGACATTTTGCCAAATTAATGATGGGGTTTTTTTTCGTGCAGTTATTGGTGACCGGGCTGAGAACAGAACTCACTGCACCTGAGAACCCAGTTTAATTATAGGTGGCAGAAACTAGGATTCGGAATCTGAATTTTTATGAGAACTGTACCATTAATTATACCTGGAAGAGGTAGGCTTTCACCCACCTGACTTTCAATCTGCCGCCTCACTGCCAATTCTAGCTGCAGCACCAAAGCTACTGCTGGCACCGCATTGTCTTGCGTGATTTATATGAGATGGCTGATGGAGAACTTTGGTGTTGCCTTACCGGAGGCACCAGAAGATGGTGAAGGCCGTCATGAGTGCAAGAAGGGAGACACAGTGGCCCAAGTAGTTCACAACAAGCGCCACCTTGTAGTGTTGGCTGTTCCTCTGCACACATGGCCAACAGCAACAGGGGGGGGGGGGGGAGTCAGTAGGGCCTTTAGAAAAAAGACGTATTGTCTTTTTTGTTTAAAATTTATGCCGATTTTTATATCGGCATTCAAGCCAAGAAATGAAGAATCCGTACAGAACTCTCCGAGAGCAGCGGATCACTCTGTCTTAGAGAACGGCCTATGGAGGGAGATACCACAACACTGCTTGTGGAATGTTTCAAGTCATCTCTTGTCATTACTAGGGACAGCACTATCCAATCTACCATGCTATATGGAGAGAATAATACATTGTCACGTGACAGACGAAAAATATTGTTGCTCTCAGATCTAAACATTAGCCAAAATTAAGAGCGAACCCAAAATTATTTTGTTGGGTTCCTTTTCTGTACTTGTGATACGTGCAGCACTGCTGGGAGGCCCAGGACCTGTGACCCACGATTGCGGAAGACAAAGTAACAGAGTGATCCACACTCAGACCAACAAAATACTCCATATATTCATCAATCACGCTGTGGTCTTAAAAGGAAAACATATATATAATAATACAACGTTATCCTTCTCAGCATATACCACTGCAAATGCAGTATCACCTAATAACATGCTCGGATAAGTGTACCTTGATGCTCACATCAACAAAGACAGTCACTGCATTGTGCGCCTTCCGATGCACTTCTACAGCTGTCGGCAACGCTCGTTCTTCTGATATTAGGAAGCCACTGGAGCTATGCACTTTTAAACCTCGACTGAATCCTCATTTCTTCAGCACAGTTTTTTGTGTTTAGTTTTTTGTCCTTCCGCCGCAACTCCGATTAGCGCGGTTGGCTGCGAAATAGGTTCGACATACAAACATGTCCATTGGCAGTCCTCGGTAAAGCATGGAAATTACACATTCCTCTGCGGTGGAATTAAGGACGAGCACTTTTTACTTTCCCCGAAGTTGTTCTTGTGTTATTAATCCCAGAAGGATGATGGACCGAGTCATGAACCGTGCTTAAGTCCTGCCGATTATGAGTTCGGCACTTTCCCCCTGCACAGCGGCATTTTAAATAATTATCGTCATTAATTTTACTCCCCTCCGACCATAAGAGTGTGATTGTGACTTCATCTGTGGCACAGCGAAGCATAATACCCACAAGGTTAGAGTGCGCCTCATAATAGAGCATGCCAAGGTTTCAACGGACTGTTAATCAAGGTGGCTAAATCATGAGACATCAGAGTTCCTCCCGTGTCAGGTGAGGTAGCTCTGTCCTCAGCACAGAGAGTTTTCCATGAGCATCGTGATCTTATCGCTGTGAAAGACGGGGACATGACCGGCACACAATCAGGAAGGGGGAAAACATTTTCAATTTGTGAAACGAAAACTCTGATAAAGTTTGGAGGACTTGGTTGGAAAGGTTTAGCCGTTATCAGTACCTGTGCCATCGTGTACGTCGCTAAGTCACTGCACTGGGATTGAGTGGATCAATTCACCCGTAACTGATAGTGATGGACATGGAAACCTCGGATAAGAATACATCTGAGAAAACTCAACCTTCCCTATCACTGTGAACCTTCGAATCACTCTCCAGAAATGCCGATCACAGGAATAGAGTGCGAAGTGTGTCAGCTTCACTGTTTTCTCTTCCTGTTGATATTTGAAGTCAACCTTCGCTCAGTGTGAGGTTTCTCCTTCTCCTCTGCTGCCCCCAACAGTCGTGGACATCCACTCTCTTGCCATCTATGTGAATGACACCTTTCCCTTGATCGAGACATTCTTCTTTGCCATTGCCTATAACTGGCAGCGCCTCTTCTTACGTACATGTTGAATCAGGCAAGGTGCTATGCTCTCACCAAGGATATGCACAGTAACCCTTAGAAGATGTGTTCCGAAAATTGGACTGAATAAGTAAATTCATTAACCTAATGGAGACATGCAATCGCCTAAGAGCAAAAATCATCAATGACACAGTCATTAAAACAATCAGTGGGAATTCAAATAAAATAAAATTTTGAAGTCAACAAAAAAACGCTGCAAATTTGCCCAAGGAATGCGTAAGAGCAACACAAAAGTTACATGCAACAAGTTGTCCTGAGCAATATATAATTTTTGTTGGGAAGGAAACAACTGGAAAATAACAGAGTATGAATATTCAGGGTTATTGCTGAAGGTGAATTGGGATCAAGATGATGAACTTTCGATGTGAAGTGAGGGTGTGCTGGAGTGCTTTGGAGATTTGAATGTCATAGTACCTCAATTCAGCGCATATTTCCTGCTACGATGAATGGATTGGGGAAGCATTGACGCGGAAAAAGAAATTGGAATAAAAACTGTAATGTGCATGAAGAAGCGTGGAGGTGCGCGCTTGGAATGATGCTGAGAGGCAGAAAGACGAGCAAATGGATCAGAGAACGAACGCAAATGAGAGACACCGTGGGCTCGATCGTGAGACAAGTAATGGAGTGGCAGCCCAAAATGGGACAAACAAGAGCACGAATGTGGGGCGATGAGATTAGGTCACACGCGGGAGCCAGATGGATTGTTGCACCACAAGTACATGAGGGTTATGGACGATGCAGGGAGGCCTTAATCCAGCAGTGTGTAGATCATGGCCAGTTATGATGATGATGATTAATGAAATGCATGCCGTCTTCTTATTCACCATTATACACACGTGCCACTACTTCTGCAGCATCCTGAGATGCGATTGCATTTTGATCAATGCCCTGTAAATCCCATTTCTATTATATTCTTTAAATGCATTCATTTTTATTTTCTCATTTTCTTCCAAGTTAGTGTCCCCCGTGTGTCTGTTATTAAAGCGACACAGTGCATAACTAGATGGGGGTCGAGCATGTGAGAGCTACGAGACCCCTGTGGCTATGAAATTCCACATCTCTTTGCGCTGCACTTGCTGTTTCAAATAGGCCCTATGCAAATGGACTCTATGCCGTGATTTCAATAGGTTGAGCCACATTAAAGTTGACACAAACAAAAAGTAATTAAGCATTTAGCTCAAGCTCACTCGTCAAACAACCTTGGTGCTTACTGTATGTCCGTTGAAATTTATTTTCTTGGAAAAGCACACATCTCGACTGCAAAACTTAACGCCACCGCAAATATTCTATGGCACAGGCTATGGCAGAACAGAATTTGAGTTGCGCGAGCTTAAGAAATATGTTAGCCACCCGCGCGTTGTGAATACCCAAACGAACTACGTGATTTTGAGGATATAGGCTCATGAAAACAGTGTTGGCCAAAACGTTTCCACATTGAGATATTGCCCACAATACGCAGACATTGGACATTATTTGGCTTCAAAGAGATGTGACGTTGTCTCCTGTCAAGCTTGACATTTTTCACTTGACAAGTTTGTCAGTATTGGTGCAATGCGATTTAGTGAAAACGGTGACAGGAAAACTATTCCCACGTATATCCGAGTTTGTAAACAATGTTAAACGATTACTTCAAAAAAATCTGAGAGGGTGTCCACTGGTGTGTCCAGGATCAGCTCCTGTGCAGGAGCTGATCGATTGTTGAGGACCAAGTTTAGTGACAGCTTGGGAAAGCCTTCATCCAGCAGTGGATTGAGCGTGGCTGATGATCATCATTGGTGAACGATACATCCCAGGATAGATTTAAACCCAACTCCTTCAAATGTATGTCTGCCTTCTTACTAACCCACTGCAGTAGCCAACGATGAAAGTGTCTCTGCACTTTTGAAGAGGCCTGAATTTCTGTCAGTGCTAAATGTGACTTCACCATTCCTCCCACAGATGGAAGGATACACGTGGATGACTATTCTCCACTGTCAGAGCAATCGCTCCGATCTCGTTGACGTGTAAGCAGATTGTTTCCCCGCTCTCCCTCGACCGCGGCTCTGGAGCACGTGGATGCCTGCAGTCGGCTGAAGGCGACACGAACTTCACGCGGCACGGCGGACCTTGCCGTTCGCTTGCCGCCTCGCTCGCGACAGCTTGGTGCCACGCCGCACAAGCCGTGAATCATCGCAGGCCCACCGAGGACCCAAGCTATTTTCGCTTTAAGACACACGCACCATCTGCGCTCGTATGTATGAACTTCTCCCGCACCATACGTAGCCAACCGTGCTAATCGAAGGTGCGGGGGGAAGGACAACAAACGAGAAGTCGCACCTCCTGCGAGGAGTTTTGGGCGATGCGACCGTTCACACTCCGAGGGCCCGGGGTAGCATCTCTCACCCAGCGGCGGGAGCGTCTCTCTCGCACAGCGTCCACAGCTTTAAGTAATTCACCAGGAACACCCCTGCGCGTCGTTTGTAAAAAAAAAGACTGAAACATTTCTGTTGTGTCTCTGTCGCTGATGTGAGCGTAGCCTCCACTCTCGATGTGTATACGTGCAATATATTACATGTCGTACGCGTCGAGGTAAACTCACTTTGCTCAGGATGATTGCCTCACACAGCGAGTAGTTGGAGCGCCGTGCCCACGTGGCATCCGCCATGCACTCGCGGTACACGCTCTCTGTCACACAAACACAACGACCATTCTGTGGTTATCACGGCTTAATTTCTCACCCCATGTCGTAGGGAATGCAGCTAGGCTGGCATGGGTGAGTGATTGTCAGCGTAAAACACGAACTACTTGAATAGGTGGTGTGCCTATCTATAATAAGCATGTATTATTGTACCCTATATTGCCACCAGCATACCCACCACTGCAGTATAATGAGGCTAAACTAAGGATGGGTGAATGTGGAGTGCAAAGATAATCCCCGAAACAGCTCTGCCTGCTGTTCTGGCTGAAATCGTGCACTGGTTGTCCCGTGGCAATGGCCAGGGCCTCTTGGGGGCACGCTCAGATAGACCATCACGTCTTGCTGATAACATGTTAAGTTGAATACAGCTCAGGGCCGGCATTGGTTGATCAACAAATGTGTGGAAGGCACTATTCTGGAAGGAGGCGCATCGCCCAACAGAGTTTAAAGTTTTATTTTTTGTGATGTGAAAAGGTCTCGTTACCTACACACTTAAAATGTCACAGTCATCTGCAATTTGCCAAATAATTTCAGTGTACAGTATTTTGCTTTCTTCCAATACACAGCACATGCAATACACTTATACCCAATGAACAAGCTGCCTTGCTGGAAAATCCCTACAACCCTGTGTCAAAGGCTATTTGGAACTCTAATTGGTCAACGGACACAAAGGCAAATCGCGTCACCCCCGTATATAAATATTAGTGCTGGCATTCTTTCGCAGCATGAAGTATGTAGGCCCCCTTCCACACCTGCCTTCTGGAACACGCTGCGGCGTGAGTGACAGGCACCGCGTGGCATGGCAGCTCGGCGGAGAACGCACTCACACGCGCGGTGTGTGTACGTGCGCACGTACGCACACACACCGCGCGTGTGCGTGCATTAGCGTGTGTGCGCTGCGCTACGAACCGGGCGAACCGAGTTCGATTCCCGCTCGCGACCAACACCAATGACAGATTATCTGAACTGATCCTGGGCCTCCTCTAGATCGACTCAGCCTTCAATGAGTACCCAATGCGGTGTCTAATCACAGCCACTAGGGAGACAAAGGCGGCCGGGCGTGGTGCTGGCTACCTTTCCACTCGTGTGCCGTTGCCGGCCTTCGTAGGTGCTCGCTAGCAGCACTTGCCCCCCCAAAAAAAGAGTCTGTGAAGGCTACAGGGGGGATCTTTCTCTGTTGCGTGCGTACTGCTGGTGTCGTATTGCACGCCGTTGAACCGATCCGGGCAGGGTCTTATGACGACGCGACTCGCCTCGCTGCTGGGCCAGCACGTCCCGATCTCATCCCGGGTCGCATTGCAGAAGGGGCCTGCGTGCAGCACGGTAGGAGAGAGGTGGGCGGGGGGGGGGAATCAACACATCATCCTCTCAGTCGATCGAGGCGGTTATCGGCGTGTATTCCGTTGCAAGGCACGCCGCGGTGGCGAGATGTTAACTCCATCGCCTCGTGTGCAGGAGGTCGTGGCATTCGTGCCCGACCATGACGCCTGCTGTATATTGGGAGATGGCGCGTCTCTCTCCTCGTGGTCGCGTGGATTTATCGCCGAGTCGTCTGGTTTTCCCCTCCACATTTAGCATCAACATTCGTTCAGAGTATTTGGCTGCTCTACATTTCCACGTGTTAAGTCACTTCGTTGAGCTATCATTTGTGATATGTCGCTTTTGACAAAGAGCTACGTAGCTCAGTGGGCATTACGTGGTAACATGAGAATGGTTTACTTTAGTTTAGCAATACCAAGCGGTTGTCCCGTGTGTACATTGTATGGTTTCGGTGGTGCTGCTGCTGCTGCTGGCCCATTGAAGGCTCTAAAGCAGAAATAATGTTTGAGAACGTTGCTTGACCACAGACATTGTACGCTGAACAAGCTACGGAACCTCGTAATATCAGTAGCTGTGTTACAATCGTGACATTGATAGACTAATAACAATAACACACATTGTCGTAGTGTTTTGAGAATTATGAGCTTTTTATGTTGATTAGGATCTGAACTCGAGCCGATTTTGGTGATTTATTTCACTGATTGAGGACCACTTGAACATGTTTGGACCCTAAGGTATCCCTTGATTTTCTTAAACCTCCCAAACTCCCACTAACGCAGCAGAGTTAAGGAACACATTTTAAAGAGGAATGTTTTTTGATGAAAGGAGAAGAACATATCTGAACATTTGGCCTGGTTCGCTTCCTTCAAAGAAGACTTTGATTCAGCGGGAGAGAAATCATAACTGAATGTGTAAAGCAGGTACACATACAAATGCATCTCAATAAACCACGCAATGTAAATCATATGCACATGAACATTATATATAAAAAAATCCACTTGATACTTATATTTAAACTTATAATTATTTTATACTTACGTGACTTTACCGAAAGAACCAAAGAGTATGGATTCCTGCAGGCACAAAAGCTTCAAATCAAGATTGAACCGCCTCTACGGGGAGGGTTTTTCACGCATCTGACATCAGACCAAGTAGAGCTCCCTAAAACCTTCGGCTGCTAGACCACCCAGATTTTATGGTCTTCCAAAAATCCACAAAGTAGGTCCATCCTATCATCTCCAACATTAACTCACCCACCTACAAACTGGCCACACCATTGCAACATCTTGATGACGGACACTTGTGTTGCGTCCGAAACGTCGTGATTTATTTTATTTTATACCTACGTGACTTTACGGAAAGAACCAACGAGTATGGATTTCAAATGTTGCATGAAGGCCTCTCCGTGGTCCTTTTGGCTATGGGGGTTGTTTGACCATACTTCACCACACTGGCAAGTGTGGGGTTAGTGAAAGTGCTGAGGAGGAGGGCGGTGGGGTGGTTGAACCCTTAACTGGATCAGAGATCGCTTGCCACTGATGTCAGACAGAGTGAAAATGTAACTTGGGTCGCCTGGCTCCTAACTCGGTGCGCTAACCAATCAATGTGCCCACCCACTACGCGGCAAAATAATAAAAGTGGCTAAACAAAACAAAAAAATCCCCGTTCAGCATTTATTTTAAGTACAATAATTTACCGAATTGTTATTATAATCATTTTCCGCAGGAGTTGAAGGACACCGATTAGAGGCGCGAGGAAGTCACGAGGGCATGCCACGGTCCAAGCGTCACCGCCAGCGCCGCCGCTACCACCGCCACGCGAGCGACAGTGACGGGTCGACGATTGACCCCCGCGGTTTTATCTCCCTGATATTCGTTATTTGTTAAGATGACGGAATTACACATCGATATACACACGGCGTGTTTACTTGTACATAATACGCCTTTCTGTAAACGAGATGGAATTTACTATTTTTTTGCGATTACCACTAGCGGTATGTTTTTTTTCATGAAACAATTGCATTTTCATTGAATTGAAGTTACACTTCAGTGTCTCTTTTTTAAACGGTCGACGTGTTGCCGTGTTATACTCCTCTCATCTCACGTGGTTGGCCTCATTTGACACCTTCAATACCGAAGAATTGCAGAGCCCGCTCGATTCATCGCTCGTACTATTTATTGTTCCACAAATTCACAATGTAACCATAATTGCCTGTTTCGCTGATTTCTGTACAATGCCTCGTTCGTTTGCAAGATATGAATTAATAAAAAAAGTATCTAAAAATATTGCTTTCACTTGCAGCTCATTCTGCTCCCGTTCTACAAGCGTCTTGATGCACCGATTGGCCTCCACAGAAAACGCGTGAACATTTCCTTTGCAAAAGGACTCATTGGTCTCTCATCAGCCTCTTACCTGCTCATGAAATAATGAGTTTAGTTAATTACCCCAATGGTATCTGCCCATCATGTTTACTCAACCGTCAGCACACGGACAAAGGCCCTGTCTGGCATACACGAGGGGGGCTAATTTGACCATTTTTGCTAAAGCATTCAATTTCAAGGCCATTTCGGCAAGATGAGCTCACCAGCTGCACTCTTCTGCCTCCTCAGTCCCCACGGCACTCAAATCAATTACGCTTAAATACAGCGACGCTGCCCTTATTGACCATATTTTCCACTTACCGAGCAGCCCATCGGCAACCGAAGGTGTTTCGGGTTATTTTTTTAATCTCCAAAAAGCTTACCTACCCCTGTCCGTCAATCTGATTCTTCATTTGTGCACATGCCGAATACATTTATACCTTTTGAACCTCATGATGGTAAATACGACTAAACTTTGTGTGCCACCATTGCAAAACGGCGATAAAAGCAAACCGTCCTAAACATCAACGCTTCGAAAAATCTGCTTACAGGTTGCAAACAGCTGTAGATTCGAGCCGTGTGGAGTTCATACTTTACTGGACGTCTGTGTAAAACAGCGTCATAGCTCATCGGATTCTTCCAGTCGAAATAAAGATTATTATAATTATTATTCTGATAATTAAAAATGTGTAATGCACTCCCCTACACATCAATATTTTCAGACGTCTCGACTGCCGTCTGCATGCGCATGGCATCAACTCTCAAAATCTTTAATTTTCGCACGTCTGATTAGCACGGTTGGCTATGTATGGCGCGAAAGAAGTTCAACATACAGTGAGGAAAAAAAGTATTTGATCCCCTGCTGATTTTGTACGTTTGCCCACTGACAAAGAAATGATCAGTCTATGATTTTAATGGTAGGTTTATTTGAACAGTGAGAGAGAATAACAACAACAAAATCCAGAAAAACGCATGTCAAAAATGTTATGAATTGATTTGCATTTTTATGAGGGAAATACGTATTTGACCCCCTCTCAATCAGAAAGATTTCTGGCTCCCAGGTGTCTTTTATACAGGTAACGAGCTGAGATTAGGAGCACACTCTTAAATGGAGTGCTCCTAATCTCAGCTTGTTACCTGTATAAAAGACACCTGTCCACAGAAGCAATCAATCAATCATATTCCAAACTCTCCACCATGGCCAAGACCAAAGAGCTCTCCAAGGATGTCAGGGACAAGATTGTAGACCTACACAAGGCTGGAATGGGCTACAAGACCATTGCCAAGCAGCTTGATGAGAAGGTGACAACAGTTGGTGCGATTATTCGCAAATGTAAGAAACACAAAAGAACTGTCAATCTCCCTCGGCCTGTGGCTTCATTCAAGATCTCACCTCGTGGAGTTGCAATGATCATGAGAACGGTGAGGAATCAGCCCATAACTACACAGGAGGATCTTGTCAATGATCTCAAGGCAGCTGGGACCATAGTCACCAAGAAAACAATTGGTAACACACTACGCCATGAAGGACTTAAATCCTGCAGCGCCCGCAAGGTCCCTCTGCTCAAGAAAGCACATATACATGCCCGTCTGAAGTTTGCCAATGAACATCTGAATGATTCAGAGGACAACTGGGTGAAAGTGTTGTGGTCAGGTGAGACCAAAATGGAGCTCTTTGGCATCAACTCAACCTGCCGTGTTTGGAGGAGGAATGCTGCCTATGACCCCAAGAACACCATCCCCACCGTCAAACATGGAGGTGGAAGAAACATTATGCTTTGGGGGTGTTTTTCTGCTAAGGGGCCAGGACAACTTCACCGCATCAAAGGGACGCTGGACGGGGCCATGTACCTTCCCTCAGCCAGGGCATTGAAAATGGGTCGTGGATGGGTATTCCAGCATGGCAATACACACGGCCAAGGCAACAAAGGAGTGGCTCAAGAAGAAGCACATTAACGTCCTTGAGTGGCCTAGCCAGTCTCCAGACCTTAATCCCATAGAAAATCTGTGGAGGGAGCTGAAGGTTCAAGTTGCCAAACGTCAGCCTCGAAACCTTAATGACTTGGAGAAGATCTGCAAAGAGGAGTGGGACAAAATCCCTCCTGAGATATGTGCAAACCTGGTGGCCAACTACAAGAAACGTCTGACCTCTGTGATTGCCAACAAGGGGTTTGCCACCAAGTACTATGTCATGTTTTGCAGAGGGGTCAAATACTTATTTCCCTCATTAAAATGCAAATCAATTTATAAAATTTTTGACATGCGTTTTTCTGGATTTTGTTGTTGTTATTCTGTCTCTCACTGTTCAAATAAACCTACCATTAAAATTATAGACTGATCATTTCTTTATCAGTGGGCAAACGTACAAAATCAGCAGGGGATCAAATACTTTTTTCCCTCACTGTACATCCACAATAATAGAGGTGTAATGGGTGAGATCGCGTAAATATACAAATGTGTCGTTAAACCCGCCACTACCCGACACATCCAATTAGTAAGGTTACTAGTAGAGCACACCGGTGTGTTGTACTAGTAACGAATTGCCATGTTCTGTTTACGTGACAAATCTTACTAATTGGCTGTGTCAGGTGGTGGCGGGTTTAACGTACACATTTATATACTTACACAA